TTTTCTAATCCTTTAATCATTCTCGTCGCTCTTCTCTGCCCTCTCACCAATTTAACAGTGTGTGACTGTTGTATCGTGTGCTACACTTTGGTCTTCAGCCATGCGGCCTTGGCCATTGTCTGCTCTTCTGTGCTCCTAAGTTAAGCAGGGATAAGCCTGGCCAGTAATTGGATGTTGGACTCTGAGAGTCCGAAGCTGCAGGAGATGTTCTTGGGAATGATGACTCAGCAAATGGTGCTGTTTCTATAGTAACTCAGAGAGACATGTCCAAAAGAGACAGTGGGGTGGGTGGGTGTGGTGCTGGCTGTGCAGCTTTTCAGAGGACTAGTTAAAAAACCACCCCGATAATTGCGGTCATTAAATATCCCATAGCGTCTCACAAGTGAAGGTGGTTATGCCTGGGCTCCTAGCCAAATTTCACTTCACATGAGTAATGATGTGCTTACCTAAAGTACCCCATACAGGTTCAACTGGGTGCAAAATTATTTATTTCCTGCCCCAAACTATTGTGTAATGGTCTGTGTGCTGTTAACAACAAGGGTATTGCACTGCAGAGATTGGATATGTGTTAGTGTTAAGTGCAGTTTAAACACAGCAGCTGTTTTACCATGCTATATAATAGACGTCAGAGTATGTTATAGACCGAACTAGTAACTACACTCATAGTTAAGATTGCTGAACACTTTCCATTATAGGACTCTATTTTCAGTTACTTATAAGTTTGTCAAACTTCCACCATTTGATTTCAATGTTTTTCATGCCAGATCTCTGCTTCAGGCTGGTTTTCTCTCACCCCTTAAAGTTTCAGTTAAAACGGTTCAGCACTTTCTGAAGATGAGATTAGGGGAAAAAGACATTGTTTTGTCCACGTTAAAAAACATTCTCAACCATTTTGTTGAGAAGCTCTGGTATCTCTACTTTGTGGGATAGGGACTTGGAAACTCAGCAGGGAGGTCGTCCTGGTATCAGAGATTTGTTTTTTGCCTTTCTGGGTAAAATTCGCCCAATTTTGGCCAAGTTATAAGTTCCTGAAAAATCTTTTTGCATGTGCCCCGTGGAGACTTGTTAGACTTCGGCAGCTAAACTCGCCAAACATTCTGTGTGTTCTGAGCATGCTCCCTCCTCGGGCTGAGAAGGACTTGTTCTGCAGTTGCTTCTCCTGGCTGTTGGTTGCTGCTGGAGCAATAGGTGCTGGAACTGAAAGCCGGTGAGGCCCTCTTCTGTGCCTTCACAACTGGTTCCTAACCAACGTGGAGAAGGAGGTAGCTGCCTGGCTGGAATGCAGAGGGGTGAGGGGCAAGGACAGCCTGGAAGAGGGTGCACGTAATAAGGGTTTATAACTTCTACAACAGAGGCCCCTCCTGAACTTGGGATTGAACCCAAGATTCCTGAGTCTCCACATTCTTCTGCTTCCAGCAAATAGCTGTGAAACCCACTGTCGTCGTCCTCTACTGGCTGTTCCACGTTGACGATAACAGCCTACTACCGGTACCACTTACCCCACTAGCTCAAGTGGCAGTGGCTTGGTATTGTGGATCTATAACCGCCAGTCTCTAGAGTCATTCTTACTCTTTCGCTGACTATTCAAGTCTTTTATACAAAATGGAACCGATTGGGCAGAAAAGATAGAAAGAGATCCCCTCAGAATACCCCATAGCTTAGTGGTTGGGGCACTCACTTGGATGGAAGGGGGTCCGAGTTCAAGTTCATGCTTTGGTTTTGGCTTGGATGGAGTCACATTTTTATTATATTTGTTTTGTTTTGTTTTTCAGAGCTGCCGGCAAATCAAAACATCAGTTATTTGCACAGCTCTTATTATGATACAGTCTCTGACTACATGATTGCAAACTATTTTTTCCACAGGACGTGGACTCATTGAGTGCCCAGAATGTATGGTGCTCATTGAATGGATAGTTATTTAACATTTCTTTTTATCCTCATTGCTCAATGTGTGGCTTTATTTAACGCATATCATCTGAACCCTGCACTGAATGCAAAATTAACTTTTTTCCTATGCTGCTGTCACCAGAATAGCTGAATACATCACAAACATGAATGAATGTACCTTCGCAATGGCTAGGCAGTGGTATTATCTCCATTTTTCAGATGAGAAATTGGCAAAAGTGTCCACTAATTTTGGGTGCTCAGTCTGAGACATCTGGGGCCTGATTTTTCACAGACGGTATCATTTGTATAGCACTTTGTGTTCAAAGCACAGCTCCAATCAACTTCAGTTGCAGTTGCGAGCGCTCAGCACTTCTGGATAATTTGCTCCAGGTGTTTCAAGCCAGGTGCCCAGAAAATGAGGAGTATACAGTGGCCACATGTGAAAAAAAGTTTGTTTTAAATCACTTGCCCAGCCTCTCGCCTAGAAGCTCTGTGGCACCTGCAGGGATAGAATTCTCCAGGGTGACATTCAGTTGCCTTAACCAGAAGACCATCCTTTCTCTTCCTGTAATCCCCTGCCTTGTTCACTACTCACCTGTCCACTTCTGCAACCAATGTGGCGGGGACCCTACGGACGCCCTTCCCTACCCGACCCGGATGAATGACCAAATCGCTATCCATTTACCGGCCCTAAATACATCCGCAAATAATTGGCTAAACAATGCTGTGTTTCAGTGTTTTTGTTCCCCTGTCTCGCAATAGGACTGCCAGGCAGTGTGATAAATGGACTGACAGCTGGATCTGGTTTTACTGGGGCACGTATTGGTTCCTCTGTTGCTGTTTTGTAACTTCTTGCAGCGTGACATTTATAAACTAAAATGCTGCTTCCCCAAAGTATCAAAGGAAATAAGGCCACTTTTCACCACAGACATAAAAGGCTTCTAATGTACAAGTGCAGCAAGCACCACTGTGAAGAACAAAGCCGACAGCTCATCACGTCTGATGCCTTTTAAGTTTATGCCTCCTTTTTCACTTCCAGACTGTCTCATGGAGCTTGAAGGCTTCAGTGATTGCCTCACCAAGAATTGACGGAGGAAGAACTCTCTCTAACTTTTAAATGCCTCTTTTAATTTTCCTAAATCAACCTAGTGTCCAGGCCAAATTCCAGTTTTGGTGACCACATTCGACTTAATTTAATTCCTTTGCCGGTTTCAGTTGCGTTCAGTATTCTTCTTGGCTTCTAGTGCTTCCCTGTGGTCAGTACTGCTTTGTGGTATTAAAGAGTTGCTGCTATATTCCATGCATGTAGTTGCATTCCTGTGGTAGCTTGAAGTGATTCCTACATGCATATATGAGTTCCCATGCACTCTCAACTTCCATTGATGTTGGTAGGAGCTAACATCAGCCTTGGCGGGACTGGTCCTGTCAACAGCGCTGCATGCATGCTTGAAGTTAGGCACAGGCCTATGGTTTGTGAAGCGTTTTGGGATCTCTGAGGATGAAAGCCACCACATCGATGGAAGTTGTTAGTCTATGCCACCTATAGCTACCATACGCTGGGAGTGGCCTAGTGCATAGAGTATGGGACTCATGAGACCTGGATTCTATTCCCACCTCTGCCACTGGCCTGCTGGGTGACTTTGGCCAAAAAACAGCCCCTCTCTGTGCCTCAGTTTCCCCATCTGTAAAATGGGGATAATGAAACTGACCTCCTGCGTGTAAAGCGCTGTGAGTTCTAGGGATGCAAGAGTTAGGCCTTGTTATTTCTCTAGGGGCAGTATTGTGGCAGCTGTTGATCTTCTACCGCCAGCACTGGAAAAACATTTCTATTTTCATAGCTGTGCCAAATGGGGCCACGTTACTTTCCTGTGCTGACAGCAGTTGACCCCACTACTAAAGTGTTGGCATCAGCAAGAGAAACATGATCCAGGAAAGGAAAAAGACCCAAGGAGGGAAGAGAAATTGAAAAAGAACAATCCGCTTCAATGAAAACTTGGTGAGAGACGAGGCACAAGGGGGAAGGGGGCAGGCAGAGGGAAGAGACACGTGACCGGGTTGGTGCGTTGGCCTTTTAACCCTTGCAGACGTTGCTTTGTATATTTAATTCACGAGTTGGGTGGGTCTCGGGTCTGACCCCTGGTGGACAGGTATCTCTGTTGCAAAGCCACCGTGCAGTTTGGTCTTGTTGGCAGCCTCTGCTCTGTAGAGGCCTAGGAGTTAGAGTAGGTGGGTGCGGAGGGGTATTATTCAACAAGAGATGCTCTCCTGGTAGACGTGGCTGTCTCTGTCCACTGCTTTTTGTTTGGCAGCTTTCAGGGGAGCTAAGACAAATGCACTATCAATCCTCCTTGACAGACAGGCTTTGGGATATTGGTGCCGTAGAGTTCTACCCACCTCTTTCCCGCCTCTTTTTTCACAAGTCTTTTTTTAGTGTGTTTTTGTTTAAATCCTTACTGAAAGGAAGCCCTTTGGTTTGGAAGGGAGATTCCATTTTATTAGGCAGTCCTGCAGAGCTGGAGGTAGATATCAATTTGTGGACACAGAAATAACTCCAGGTTCCATCCACCCTGAGTTTCGGCCCCGGGTTTTACTGGGTGCGTCCCACAAATTTGTAAGCGCGGGCTCGGAGGACATTAAAAGCATCACTCAATGTCTTCAGGATCAGTGCAGCTGATGATGTCATGCTGTGATCTGATGTGTGTGGCATGTTGTCACAATACATCAAGACAAGTCAAGCCCTTTGTCATGGAGGATAGAGCTTTAGAGGTGGGACCCATAATTCTACTGATGTGAATTGGGTTTTGCCCAAGAACAGACAGAAGCTTTTCGCACATTCAGGCAGCCAAATACAAGGGCACAGCTTTAGCTCCTTGCAGAGGGATTTTTCAGCATAACGCCCATCAACATTGGTGAGGATTGTACGGCTAAATCCCAAGATTGCCCTTCTCTGCCATTCTTTGCTACTGCTTTCAACGATCTATTTGAATGTTACTTATGATTAATGTTATGGGTAGAAGAAGGCGCAAACAGTGGAGGATGGATGCTGTTTCCCCGTGTGATCCCCCTCTCTGCCATGCTAACGGAACAACTTTATTTTTCTTTTCTTGTTACAGAAATTCAGAGGAGTGTGAATGTACGACCTATTGGATGTGAACTCCTTCTTCTAAAGCAGACTTGCAATACCCTAATCTCTCGCTTGCCTGGGGTAAGTAAAGAAAAGCCATTAGCAGCAGCATGGCAAAGGGAGGGCAAGTGGATTTTGTGCCTGGGCTAGTACATTTCTGTGATAGTTTTGTAAGCTAGTCCTGCAGGAATAGGATTTGAAGGGCATGACACATGTAATTAGAAAGACATTGCTAATGAATACCTAGATTGACAGGTCTGCCTTGTCTGATGAGTGACTTCGACCTAACAATAGCTCTGCTGTCCTTAATGTTCCTGTTACCTGAACAAGCACTTCCTGCTAGAGAGGGCTATAAGCCCATGGATAATTAACACAATCCTCAATCATTCATGTACAATATAATAATGTGATAAAAGCAGGAGTTAATGGATAAAAAAGAAACAGTACTGACCCTGACTTGGAGTTTGGTTATCTTTTGTGATGCACTACGCAGATCTCCATGTCCCTATTTCTGTCAGTCTCATTTGTGTACTGTGGCATCGGAGCACAATCGTCCAGACGCGAATGCAAACTACTGCAGACATTGGATTATCTGAGCACTTTACCAGATGTAAATAATGCAGGTGAACGATCTACACCGAGTCCTGCTTATTCCCTTCCCATCTCTAGAGTCAGGCGAGATGGGTTAGAACTTCATTTTTCTCTTCTTGTCCTTCGGGTCTCATTCTTCCTTGGTTTCCTTTGCCCTGTTCTGAGAGCGGGCAAAGCAGGCTTTTTGTGTGTGCATACCTTTTATCGGAAAGATGTGTCCGAGAGATAGGTTTTGAGGTTTGTCCCCCAGGTGGCTGTTAAATTCCGTTACCTCTCACTTGTTCCCACAGGAGTTATGAGTCATGAGTCACCCAGGAAAGCGTGGGAGAAGTTTGAGTGGTCCTGCCACTTATACTGAGAGATCATAACAAGAGAGGGTGGAGATCGTGTTATATTTCATCTTCCTCAGGTGGTTAAATATCAGAGAAATACACATGATGGAAGAAGCCCCATCGCTTGGGACTTATAAAACTAAAACGGGCAAGACCCTAGAAAATGTGCTCTGCATTGGCCAGGAGACAGGTTGGATGCTCTTAATGTGTGCTTTCCATAGGGAAGCTGGCATCCCACTATGATATTTCATAGTAATCGGGTAGGAGCTTGAAAAAGCATCTGTCATCCGCTCTGTGAGAGACAGGAATTGTCAAGGGGACTCCTTCCCAGAGTCACCTTGGCATGCGTTTGTTCTTTCACGGGATCTCAAAAGCTCCGGCAACTCTCTGCTTAGATCTTCAAAGCAAAATATGTCAACGAAAGGACACAATCTACAGTGTGACCCCCTGATCTTTTTGATCTTGAACAATCAATTAAATCTAAGACTTTGTCATTCCCCACATTGCAAGGACTATTAATAAGCTGAGGTGCCACATTAGTGATACAGCTAGATTTCCAACCTTTTTCTTTGAATGACTCTGGCCTTTCGGGCTGGGTCAGAGTCAGATTATTTACAAAGGCTGCTCCATAGATCTGCCTGCCAGGACGGATGTTAACGTTCTAATATTATTGCATTGGTGAAAGAAAACGATGTTGAACTCTCGTCCAGATCTCCTCTCTAGCGTTTAAAGTGATGGTAAAACCCATGATGATGATTCATTGCATGTGCGTTGTGACTTCCACCTGAGGATCTCATGAGTGCTTAGTATATATCATGAGAGACAGGTGAGCCCTGTGAACCGGACTTTGGAGACACAGCAAAGCAGTAGCAGAGCTGTGAATATAACCCAGAAGTCCTTAGTTCCAGCTTTAATGCACCCTCGTAGGTGTCAGTTTTGTAGTACTGTGTGAATGATTTTGCAACTGAAAATTTGTATTTTTTTCCCCATTCTATTTCGGCTACGCCCACAAAGGAAGATATCTGAGGATTCTTCTAATCTCTGTACCCTGCAAAGAAAACCTATTTCCTTTCACACGCTTAAGAACAGAAGTCTCGTTCTGAGTGCCCGTGAACACAATTTATATTTGTTGCTTAACAAAGCCCTACCAGATCCTGGTCTGTTTTGACGAGCACTGTGCAGCTAGCTTGGTTTGAATGTTCTGTGAGCACTTTGGGAATCCCGAGCACAGATGGGCGGTTGCTTGGGTTTTCCCCATTCTTAATGTTCATAGAAACAGTTCCTAGATGGCTCCATCCTGACCATTTCCACAAAGGGAGTATGCAGAGGTCAAGGTCAGTTTTGGGTTACCAGTGAGAGAAGTTAATGGCATAGGAGCCCAGTTTCTGTGGTTCCATGAATGCTGCCAAAGCCTTCAAAAGCACAGAAGTCACAAGCCAGTGGGGGATTTTTAAGGGAAAATATCAGGTAGTGTAGGTCAAAAATGTATAATTTGGGGTTAAAAAAAACCCACACCGTTTAATAGAATTTTTAAAATAATTATTTCTAATATTCAGTTAAAACAATTCTTTTGGGGTGGGTTTAACCACTCATCTGCAGTGTTTGCAACCTCATATGCTACGTATTGGACGGGAACTGACTTGTGTTTGTGAGGTAGCTCAGTAGATAATGTATTTATCCTCCCAACACCCCTGGGAGGTGGGGAGGTGCAGTTATCCCCATTTTACAGCTTAGGAAACTGAGTTACGGAGCAGCTCAGTGACTTGTCATACAGGAAGGTGGTGGACAAGCTGGGAGTGTATTACGCAGTGCCCAGAGACCCTAACCAAGGTCAGGGTCCTTTTGTGCTAGGTACTGTACAGATGCATAATAAGGAGACTGTTCATTCCCTGAAGAGCTGACAGTCTAACTCAGGGGTTCTCAAACTGGGGGTCAGGACCCCTCAGTGGGTCGCGAGGTTATTACATGGGGGGTCGCAATCTGTCAGCCTCCACCCCAAACCCTACTTTGCACCCAGCATTTATATTGGTGCTAAATATATAAAAAAGTGCTTTTAATTTATAAGGGGGGGTCACACTCAGAGGCTTGCTATGTGAAAGGGGTCACCAGTACAGAAGTTTGAGAACCACTGGTCTAACTAGACAAGACAGACAAAAGGTGGGAGTTGAAGCAGCAGTACAAAGAGGTGAAGTGATTTTTCCAAGGTCATACAGCAAGTCTTAGAACCCAGTTCTCCAGAATCTGGAAACCTTCCTTCCTCTACCTAAAATGACCGGTCTCTCCTCCTTGTTGGAACTGAGTAAAAAAAAAAAAACCCAGAAGTTTTTTAAAAAAAGAAAAGAAAATCAGAGTTTTAAAATTCCTTTAGTTTTAATAATTGAGGGCCAGATCCCCGGGTGGGGGGTGTGTGTGTGTGCGGGGTTCCAAGCATTGTAACCGGTAATTTAATTACCCTTTGACAGACCTACTTGCCTTTCGCCTGAAACTGACGTCTGAGGAAAGTAGGATGTCAAAGCACTCAGGTGCATTATTGCAGAACATGACCTTAGTGCTGAGTTTAGTCATACAGCATCCTTCACAGGTGAGGTGATTGTCAAAGGTAGATATCTTTCTACTTGGACAGTCTTGCTGCTTCTGATGTGTAGAGGGAAAGGCTTCTAGTGCCTGGCGATGTTACATGGCCCAGACGGCCAGCAAGCTTCACTTTTTTTATAACGAGAGAATTAACGTTAGCAGCAGGGGGTGATAGTCACTTTGAATTAAATACCGGGAAGGCATGGGAAAATGGCAGCGTTAAAAGGCCCCCATCTATTGCACGAATAGATAATTCCTCTTCAGAACCATGTTTAAGATGCCATATCTATAAATACTAGTAAGGCTCTTTGATTCCAATTTTCAGGTAAGATGAACATTTTATTGAGTATTCTGTCTGTCACATTCAATACTTTAGTGTGCCGTCCTCTCAGGCTTATTAGCATAATTGCACTGCTTAAGCAACAATAAAAAATTCAACAGTAAAATAGCAGTTAGCACAGGCAATTTGTTATCCAAAGCTTTTACTTAAGGACAGGTTCACCGCATATTTATTAGTGAGTTAGTGTTAGAAATTATTTTTATTTAGAAAAACAAAAAGGGAAAATGTTTTTAGGAGAGTTTAAAAAAAAATAGAAATGGTAAATTGGAAAGCCTGAAAATTGGTCACGGCTTCTTTTTCTGTTATGTAAAAGCTCAGCCAATTTACACATGTAGTGGAGAAGAGATTATAGAACTAACTTGGGTTTCGTTCCTCTTCTGAGCAAAATGACTGCAAAATCTTTTTTCCCCTGTTCCAACCCCTTCTCCAGCCTCAACAAAATTCTTTCCCTTGCTATTAAGGAGAACCAGGAGCGCCACTGAAAAACGCTTGTGCACTGAGGTGCACATGTCAGTTACACTGGTGTCAGCCTCTGTGCTGTGGCTGGAGGCAGAACCAAACCTGTTAGTTGCTTGAGGAAGGGGTGGACTCACCTCCTAGACAGCTTGCCAGCCTGTTCCTGCCTCAACAGTGCCTGAGACACTTTGAAAAGATTAATCATTCATTTCTCATTAGGATACTTGTGAAGCTCTCTTTAAAGTGGGTGTGATGCTTGCGGGGAAGGAGGCTACGCAGTGCTAGCTGGTTCTCAGTTCAGTTCCCGGAGGACCAGTGTCTACGTCATATAAGTGCCGCTATCTTTTGCACCAATTTGTTGTCTTTGCTGGCAGTCTAAGAAAATGAGGGGGTAGGGACTGAATGGGCAAGGCAGGCAGATTTCCCCCCTTGGTCCTAGGTGTTTCTAGAGTAGAGCTGACATGTACTGGCAGAGGGCAGTGTGTGGACTGCAACATTACTGACCACTTGCTTTCTTCTCGCATTCTATGATGAAATTGGAAATGGTCCATTTCCAGGAAATATTTAACTGAGGTGTGCACATGCAGATGTCCCTACACAAAAAAGGCTTACTGCAGAGGGGCGGGAGAAAGAGACAGGATCTCACATTTTCCACAGGTGTTTTTAGTATTAAAAAAAAAATAGCCATTTTTGTCATAATTTACCAGTGATGGAAATGCATGGAAGAAGGGTGCAAAATTACACACACACGGGAGAAGAGTGCAAAATTACACCCCCTCCCCCCCACC